TTACACACATAAATCGTATAAAGCCGTAAGGCTACAAACAAATTTCTATTGTACTAACTAAAGGCTGCAGCTTTAGCAAGCTGTCAAAGCACACTTTCATAAACAAACGGGACTAAAATTTTAATTTAGTTAGAAAGCGGTAAAATTACTTCGCATCTACAAGTAAATTGCATTTTCAGCTCCAGATGTAGAACTTACTTAGAGATTAACCAGCACATATATACTTAATTTAAGACATTTTACGATAAAAACGTATGTTGTTTCTAAACTTTCACACAAATAATTGCATACACATCCAAATATTAAAAAAAAAAACATTCTCAAACAATAAATCACTATTGCACGCCTTCTTTACTGAAATATTTGAAGTCCAAACGTATATTGGAAAAAGAAATGAAGAAATTACTTTTGAATAGTTAATTTGAAGGAACAATAACGCGAAACAATAAATATAAGCAAACAACCGGACACAAAAATTTACACAATGATTGATACATATAATAAGAATCTATAGCCCGGAGAAATAAGAGTCTACCTTTCGCAGAGAGATCTGAGAACAGTGAATGAGATACAGAGCGGCGTACGAAGTGTGTCTTGAGCTTAGGGGCTTCGAGAGGGTGTCGAGGGAGAGCTTTTTCCACTATTAGTGAATAGCCTGGCCTGGCGGAGTATTAGAAAAGATGGAGCGGACGGCGTCGTATTGACTTTGGTTAAATGTTTCCATATCACAAATGGTCATTGAAGTTCAAAATAAATTTCAATTTAGTCCTTTTTTTTACACATTTTAGTAACTGAAGTTATATCATTTTGTTAAAATTTGGGATTTCAGCCTTATTAAGAAGAGTAGTTTCTATCCCTTAACATGCCCCACAAGATGATGGCTCGTTTGAGCAGACCAATTTTGAAATTCATATGCTCAATTTTTTTGAGTTTTAATCGGATCGAATCGCTCGTTAGAACTTAACGGGCTCTAATATCATGTTAAAATTTGAAATTTCATTTTAAAGTAATCTAACCCTTCTTAATTGGTTTATATTTTCATCATTATTCGATTTGAAATTCTATCATTTTAACACCTTTTACCTGTTGATTAAAGCTACTCGAACAGGTGGCCCTGTTTTCGAGTAGCATAGCCCTTAGGGAAATTATAAAAAATCAGGTGTTTAAAGATTGGTTTTTAAAAATCAGGTCTACAAATTTATTTATTCAAAAATCGGGTATTTTATTTTAAATATTAAACGATTAATCTATTCAAACCCTAACCTAA